AAATATTAAATATATACTAATATTGTTTGAGGAGATTTCGACATTAGGATTTGTGGTTAAGTTTTATTAAGACTTTAATATTAGAATTAGATTGATGGTGTAGTTATAATTCTATATTAGACTTTAATATTAGAATTAGACTAACGGTGAATTAACGGTATTTAACGGAAAAGTTAAATGGATAATCATATAATTAAGGATAAATTAGAAAAACTTAAAAGAAAAAAATTAAAACCTGAACAATCTGAACCATTCATTTGATTTAATAATTTGGCGGTCATTTTTTCTACCCAATGTTAATAATTAAATAAATTCGTTGGTCAAATCCGCTAATATAATCCACTAACGCTAACCGCTAACTGCTAATTGTCAAACAAGGACATTGTAAGGTAGTTCTCACTTCAATTTGTTGTGTGATTTGAATACACTCTTTGTCACAAAATCTCTCTAGTTAATATGGTTGGCTTTATTAATTATATTTTTTTTAATTTTTTCATGGTATTAATAAAATACTTGGTAAATAAATATATAGCATTATTTTGTATTATAACTTGGATATTTAATTAGAAAAATAGTGCACAAAAAAGATAATAGACAATGTAGTGAATATAATCAATTGATGAATTTGAATATAAAAATTTTTACATTTGAGAAAAATAAGGACAATATAATTAATGAAAATATTTATCTTAATTTTTTTTTTTTGAAAATATATTTATCTTAATTAATTTGTTGATAATGAATAATTTTTTTTCACTGAAATAAGACATTGTAAGGACAATGTAGCGAATATAATCAATTAATAAATTTGAATATAAAGAATTTTTATATTGTAGAAAAATAAATACAATATAACTAATAAAATTATTTCTCTTATTTAATTTATTGATAATGAATATTTTTTTTTTGAATAAAGGCATTGTGGACACATAATTCTAAATTAAAGAAATGCATATCTATAATTTTTTGTTGTAGCTACTAAGTTAGTATTATTTATATAATTTAATAAGAGTAAAATAGAGTACTAATTATGCCAACTTTGTTTGGGATGAGGTTCGACCCTAAGACCTTTTTTTTTTTATTGAAATCAATGAGTAAGTTAACAATGAACTAACGGCAATTCTTAAAATTTTAACGGAATTAGTAACGGTGTGTGGGTATTTTAGGAAATTTTAATGTAAAATTTAAATCTTATCAATCTTTTAATCAATATGAGCCATTCATTTGATTAAAATCTGTGACCGCCATTTTTTCTACCCATTATAGGCCTAACTCTCTTGGGCTCTTATATTATAGTATATATATATATATATATATATATAGATTATACTAGTTTTACATTCGCATTGTGCGAATGGCTTAATGCCCAATGTTTATAATTAAATAATAAATAAATATTTGAAAGTATATCTGCAAGATGATATATGAGAAGTTAATACATAAGTAAGTTAATAATGTCAAATTTGTTTATTTAAATATGCAATTCAGAGTATATAAATACAATGTAATATAGGAGATTCATTATAATTGTTACGAAACCTTTTTTAAATAGTAATCAAGTATTTTTGTTGAATAGGGTTCTAATATATTAAATGAATGCACATATATACAATATCAATGAATGAATCAACGGTACCAGTCCTTTAGGTGTTTTGCTCAATGTTCATTTAGTTCAACCATTATTGTTGAATAAATTATTATGGATAAAGAATTTAGATGTAGTAGTAAAAATTTAAAAATTTTAATTATAATGTAACCCAAAGATATTGGACGGTTGGTAAATATGATGTAACCCAAAGATCAAAATGCTAAAGAAAGTATTTGGTTATTCAACAATTTGAAGCAACTATTTGTTCCAAGCCACTGAAAATACAAACATTGTAATTTAAAGTATTTTCACTTAGCGTTTTTGAGATTGATTTCACCAAAACACCTCTATATTTAAAAATAAAAATTAAAAATTAAAACTGTAGAGCCATTTGGATTCCTTGAATAACAAGAGCCAGTTCCGCTGACTCACTGCTTGCCCATCCACGAATGGACAAGCTTATTTTTAAATTGAAGCCTTCAGGCTCCTTTTATAGGAGCCTTCAGGCTTCTTTCATAGGACTCCCATGCCACTTTTCCCACCGATGTGGAAAAAGTGACAAAATTAAGGGGAGCTGAACGTTCGGCTTCCCATATGTTTTTTTTTTTTTTTAATTTTATTTCTTTTATTAAATTACTATAGTAGATATTTATAATGCTTGTTATTCTTTGATTAGTTCTTTGGCTTCTTCTAGTATTGGTTTTATTCGTCGTCTACGAACCGAGTTGCTCATGTTCTTGTAGCTAATATGATTAGTTAAAAGTTTGTTTTTAATAGTTCTATTGGCTTATAGGGGTGTGACACATGCATTTATAAACTTTCCCTTATTGTAGTAACGAAAGATTTTTTATTCTATTTATGTCACATATACCTTTTATTGATTTATATAAACATTTTTATGTATCTAATATAAATAGTATGGTTTATATGTACATATATGACATTGGCAATTACAAAAACTACTTTAATTTCCCAACCTACTGAAGTACAAAGAGTCTTGAACTCATGAAAAGTCAATACCATCCTCACTTGGAATTGAATCCATGATCTTCCATTTAAACTCCATATCTCCATGCTACTAGACCACAAAGTTATTGGCAACAATAACGATTCTCTTTGTACTAGCCTCTACAAATTCTAACCTTCCTCCCAAAATAACACCACAATTACTATACATTTTATAGTCATATTCAACAACAAGAACTTATTATAAACTGGAACTAATTAAAACATGGGAACTAAAGAAGTGTACACATACAAGTTTGTTTTATTTTTATTTTTATTTTTATTTTTCTTAACACTCCTTATTTGTCTTAACATTTTGAATATAATATACCAATGGAAGGACCAAATTTAATAAATTCTATATGATCCCTAACCAAATATATATAGATTAGAAAAGTTGATAGTCAAGAATTTGCATTGTGCAATTATACTGAATTTGTTTACTTAATATATAACATTCTAGTCTCTACCAAAATAAATAAATAAATAAATAAATAAATAAATAAATAAATATATATATATATATATATATATATATATATATATATATAACATTCTAGCTATAGGCCGGTTACTAGCGCTGTGTAATTATTCTCATTGTTCCCCCAATTTAGAGTTTTTTTTTTTTTTTTTGTCAGACCCCAAGACGTCTTGAACAGCTCTTAATAATAGGAGGCACCTTTAAACCCCTACTATACTCAGACTAATCTCAATTATAATTTTGTTACATTATATGGTTCATTTACTTCAATTCGTGTATTAGCCTACGTAATATCATCATTAAACAATATAATCAAACAATCGAAATCAAAATAAATTGTTTTTCCAATTATAAATACTCCATTCATTAATACTAAATAACAAAACAACAACACACAAAAGTAACACAGTAACATACAACATACTCCAATTCAAACAAGTTCTAAGAAACATGACAGCAAATCGCAATGACAAATCTTTTCAGTAAGTTTAAAAATATGATGAGAAGTTGTAAGGCCAAACTTGATAGAAATCAACATCAGATAAAATCATGTCATGATGGGTACCCTCACCGCTGCCGTCGTTGCGAGCCGGCGGAGGCGCCATGGCCGGAATGAACAAAGATGCATGCAGAATCCGGCGCAGGTGGTGGCGGAGGGACGCCGCCGATGCTTGCAGCGGCCGGCAGCTGCAGAAGAAATTACTTCCTCTTCTCCACCTCCTGCATCTTCTCACCAATCAACAATTAGCTATTAATTTTAACAATTATTTACTCAAATTCAAACAATGATAACATCAAGTCACATAAACGATCCAAATTATATATTTAATTGCAATATATAATATTTGATTTTTTAATTTAAATAATTATATATCCGATCCATCCAAATATTCTTAATATATTACAACAAATTCATTCTGTGCATTGCACGAATGAAAATTCTAGTTATGGATAAAAAGATTTAGAATGAATAGAATTCTCATAGCATAAATAAACTTTAATAATAGCTAATATGATTGGAAAGTTCGTTTTTAATAGTTCTATTGGCTTATAGGGGTGTGACACATGCATTTATAGACTTTCCCTTATTGTAGCTAGTAAGGGAAGATTTTATATTCTATGTATATATGTCACATACCCCTTTTATTGATTATTAATAATATACATTTTTATGTATCTAATATAAATAGTATGGTTTATATGTACGTCGTATATGACATTGGCAATTACAAAAGAGTTACTCCATGCCACTAGACCACAAAGTCGTTGGCAACAATAACGCTTCTCTTTGTACTAGCCTCTACAAATTCTAACCTTCCTCCCAAAATATACAATTGTTAGTCATATATATTCAATAATAGGACCTAAACTGGCCGGAGTTAATTAAAACATGGGGACTAAAGGAGTGTACACATACAAGTTTGTTTTTGTTTTAACACTCCTTATTTGTCTTAAGATTTTGAATATAATTTGTTCAATTATACTGAATTTGTTTACTTAATATATGACATTCTAGCTTATTTTATTTCTTTAGGTCAGATCACACGATGTTTTGAGCATGCCCTAAGTGTTGGAGTCAGGCTTAAGCTTTACCATACTCAACTAATCTCCATCTCCATCTCCATTTTTTGTTACATTATTAATGTTCGTTTACTTCATGTATTAACCTAATTAATACCATTAAAAAATATAATCAACCAATCAAAATCATAATAATTATTTTTCCCAATTATAAATACCTCATTCATTAATAAAATAAAAATAAAAAAAAACAACAACACACAAAAGTAACACTGTAACAGCATACTTCAACTCAAACAAGTTCTAAGAAACATTACAATTAAAGGCAAACATGACAACAATAATTAAAGGCAAATTGCAATGATAAATCATTAGTGATCGAGTTTAAAAAGATGATGAGAAGTTCTAAGGCCAAACTTGATTGAAATCAACATCAGAGAAGATCATGTCACGATGGGTACCCTCACCCCCACCGCCGCCGTTTACCGGCAGAGGCGCCATGGCAGGAACGAACCAAGATGCAGTTGCTGGCGGCAGAGGCGCCATGGCCGGAACGAACCAAGATGCAGAATCCGCGGCAGTTGCTAGCGGAGGGACACCAGCCGCACCGCCGTGATTGCGCAGCTGCAGAAGATGTTGCTTCCTCTTCTCCAGCTCTTGCATCTTCTCATCAGCCAACGCATACAAACCCATAAGCTGCCTTGCATCCTGTATCTCCTCAAATCTGCTTTCTCCCTGGATTACCTTTTTCATCACCACATTCATCTCCTTCCTCTCCACTTCATCCTCCTTCTTCCGCATCTTCTCAATCTCACCATTAACCCAATCTCTCACAAACTTCTCGTGCGTCACCATCTTCTTCACTCTCTCCGCCTCCGGAAGCCCCCAAAACCCCAAGAATCGCTTCCTCGCTTCTTCCACACAAGGCCAAACATCAATAAGACAATCTCCCTCGTACATTGCAATCCCAATCTCCACATCGCACAACACACAAAGCTCTTTCGCTTGCTTCAACAACGCTGCCTTCTTCCGTTCAATCACCCGTTTTCTCTCCCTTTCACTCATCATCATTAACCTCAAATGACGACCAACTTTTATTCCTCCACCTACACGCATGCTTAATTGTTTCAATGCTTGATAACACCTCTGATCTGCAGACCAGACTGCCTTTCGTATTTATAAATAGATTATGGTGCCCGGTTTAAGTAATTTTTTAGCTGCCTTTCGTAGTAACTCCCTTTCCCTCATCTCTATATCTATATATATTAAAACAAAATAATTGTTCAAAAAAAAATTCCCTCCAAATGTGAAAACATTTATTCTATTCATATTAATTTATAAATAGATTCATGTAATTCCCAAAGAATTTCCCTCCAAATGTGAAAACAATTATTGTATTCATATTAATTTATAAATAGATTCATGTAATTCATGAGTATAAGAAGAATATAATATTAGTTACTATTATTGTTATATATATATATATATATATATATATATATATATATATTATAGTAATTATTATAATAGTGAAAACATTTATTCTATTCATATTAATTTATAAATAGATTCATGTAATTCCCAAAGAATTTCCCTCCAAATGTGAAAACAATTATTGTATTCATATTAATTTATAAATAGATTCATGTAATTCATGAGTATAAGAAGAATATAATATTAGTTACTATTATTGTTATATATATATATATATATATATATATATATATTATAGTAATTATTATAGTAATAATAATTCACATACAGAAACGCGGAATCATACATCCAATTAGCTTTAACGTATTATTATTACTATAATTTATTAATATTATTATAATAATAACAGTAATAATAATAATAATTATAATAATATAATACTATACTATAATAATGAATTAGCCAATTTATAAATAAATTCATGTAATTCATGTAATTTAACATGTTGAGTAAAAGAAGAATATAATATTGGTTATTATTATTATTATTATTATTATTATTATTATTATTATTATTATTATAGTAATAATAATAATTCGTTATTATAGTATAATATTTTAATTAAATTAAATTATTTAAATTAAATCATCCTATATATATTTAGTATTACAAATGATCATCCTTAATTAAATTATTTAAATTAAATCAAACATAATTAAATCAATCTTTAATGTTGGAGAACTCAAAGTTAAGAAGAGAACATCATATCTTCCATTGATCAAAGAGAGAGGTCTCGGTTACACTGAAGAGGAGAAGAAAAGAAAATGAACAGAACAGCTACAACGCTATATTTCATCCACATTTTAGGTCCCTGTCAGCAAAATCATTGAAAATCATTAAATACAAAGACATTTTGATTATTTTTATACAAAGTGAGTTGACCCGATATATTTTCATGCTTTTTTTTTTTTTTTTTTTTTTTTTTTTTTTTTTTTTTTGAAAAAAGCGTTTGTATTCAACGGCATCAAAATTTAACCACTCACAAAATGACTCTATTATAAGATAGTATCTGCTCTATACTTTCTCTATCTGTTGTAGCTCAAAGAGTCAATATTCCACCACCGGGTAGTTCGATCCTGTGATCTTTCCCCAAGGAGAGTTACATGTGTTATCCGGGTAGTTCGATCCTGTGATCTTTCCTCAAGGAGAGTTACATGTGTTATCTGAGCACAATGTGCTTGACACATTAAGCTGATTTAAATTATTCAAAAGAAATAGCTATAGTACTATGAGGGTTAGTAATGACGGACGAGAAGGTGATGAATACTTGAGGGCAGGCCCGACCCTGGGTAAGGGCAAGCCCGACCCCGGGTAAGGCAGGCCCGACCCTGGGCAAGGGCAGGCTGGGTCCTTGCCCAGGACCCACGCTCGGAAGGGGAGGGGCCTACTACCCTATACCATTACCTCTTATATATATTATAGACTTTTGTATATTTTTTAATATACATATATGCAACCGAATTCTAAGTTGGGAGTTGGTAAGGCTGGTTGTTTGTTGGTAAGGCTTGTTTTTTGTACTTTTACATAAAAATTTCCTTCCCTACTCTTTGGTAGATGAATTTAGGGATATTATTATATAGTATTAAAATTGTAACCTATTAAAATTTATTTATATTTATATTTTTTATTTTTTAAATTTAATTTGTAACTTTGTGATTTTTTTTACGTTTCTATAATTGTAGTGAGATTTATAATATAGATTGCTTTGTAATTCATATCAAATTTTAAATTTATTTCTGTAATTTTGCATATTCTCTCAAACTAAATAATGGATTGACTGACCCAGATTCTCGATTAAGCAGTTATTCAGATAGAAGGGCAGATATATCGTAATGCGAAAGACTAAGGCAGAAAGTAAATCAACACATATGATTGTTTACCCAGTTCGATACAGTGTGTATCTACATCTGGGGGACGATCACTGATATGACACCCCGTAATCCAAATTCAATTAAGGGATTAATTAAGTAATTAATCCTAATCCAATTGATAATTTAATTCCTTAAATTCCTGAAAATTCAAATGTCGGGGACTAGTAATTGACTAGTCAACCCAAAGTCAAGAGTTGTATCTAAAGCTTTGTGAATAGTTCCCTTGTTCCCTTACACATTTCATCTTAGTAAGGGTAAATAAGACATTTCCCTGGCAATAGTCTTTCAAGCTAACCTAAGAGACACATTTCATTTCTCACAAACACTCTCCAAAATCATAAGCTCTTCCTACTCTCTAAAAAGCTACTTAGCTTTCTCTCCAAGCTAAATCTAGGGCTATCAAGATCTTTCAAGTTTGTCCTCAAGATTCCACCTTTCCTACTATTGAGCATCTAGGAGGGTAAGATCTAAGCTCCTTTTGTGTTTTTAGTGTTTTCTAAGGTATCTTTTTCTAAAAGTAGAATCTTTATGATCTTTTGGTGTGTTCTTGAAGTGGGGGTGGAAGGTGAACCCTAAAAGGAGCTTGGTGAAGTGCTAAGTGAAGGTTTTTGTCTACAAGAGGTAACCCATGCTCTACAAAATCTATTTTGCTTACCTATATGATGATTTCTTTGAATCTACATGTGATTTTGCTATGAAATGTGAGTGTTTATGCATTGTCTTGTGAAAATGCATATCTAGAGCTTATGTTTAGGGTTTTTGTATGCCATTGCTTGGCTATTCCTTTGATTCAAGTCATTTTGTTGTATTTGGTGAGATTTGTCATGTTTTAGACATGAATTTGAGCTTGGTGTTGAAAATCACCGAAGGGATGTTTTGGTACAGGGTAGTGTACCCGCGGGCGGAACGGCGGGCAGAGCTCCACCCGCCGCCCCACCCGCGGGGTACATGGCCGGTGGGTGTGGTACCCGCGGGCGGAACCACGGGTGGGGGTCTACCCGTGGCTCCACCTGCGGGGTACAAATATGGTGTTGTTGGGGATTTGTTCCCCGTGATTCTTTTGACTCGGTATTTGGTCTTTTGACTTCTCGATGTTCTTTTGTGGAACTATTTGGGCGTTTTCTTGATGTTTCGTATGTCTAGAACTATATGGTAGGAATCCATGTAGGTTTTGGTGTCTTATATCGTGCTAAGTGTTTAACATTGTGATTCTTTGAACCAGGGTGAGTCTTGTGTGTTCTTCGGAACTACGTTTGGTATCCCGTTTGATAAGCATGCTAGTTCGGTGTTTAAATGCTAGCATGTGTGTTGTTTGTACTTTCCTATTGTTGATGATGACTTGCATTAATCATCGTTGTTGTTGGACTGTGATCCATTCCTTGATCGAGTATGGCTTCATATCTTCGTTGTAATCCATTAATTGATTCTTGTTGTGGTGTGGTTTGTGTGGCTGTACTTGGATTGCACGATTAGTGGTATGGGACACTAGTCCCCAAGGTATTGCAGTGGTCCTCGTGGTGGCCATGACGCGATTATGGAGTTTGTGACCTGAGTGATGGGTTCACATATCTCTTGGGTGGCATGTGTTACCGTGTGTGCGATCGGTACCTCGTGTACTATGAAATCGGTGGTCTTGTTGGTGGTTGTTGGTGGGGGACGACGGTCCCAGGAGGGAAAAGGTTGGACTTGGTTGTACAAGGGGTCCTGGAGGTAAAGGTTGGAACTAGACATAAGGTTGGGTGTGACAATCCGTAATCCAAATTCAATTAAGGGATTAATTAAGTAATTAATCCTAAACAAATTGGTAATTTAATTCCTAAAATTCCTGAAAATTCAATAGTCAAGGACTAGTAATTGACTAGTCAACCCCAAAGTCAAGGTTGTACCTTATGCTTTGTACGGAGTTCCCTTGTTCCCTTACACCTCTTTATGTTAGTAAGGGTATTCATGACTTTTCACCTTGTGTTAGTAATGCAAGCTAACCTAGTAGACAATCCTCATTTATCTCCTTACACTTTCCAAACTTTAGCTCTACCTTTTCTCTAAAAAGGTAGATAGCTTTCCTTCCAAGCCAAGTTGAAGCTTTGTCAAATCTTCAAGAGTTGTCTCCAAGATTCTACCTTTCATACATTTGGGCATCTTGGAGGGTAAAATCTAAGTTCATCTTGTGTTTTTAGTGTCTTCTAAGGTGTCTTTTCTTAAAGATAGAATCTTCATGATCTTTTTGGTGTGTTCTTGAAGTGGATTTGGAAGGTGAGCCTTATTAGGAGCTTGGTGAGGTGTTAAGTGAAGGTTTTTGTCTACAAGAGGTAACCCATGCTCTACAAAATCTATTTTGCTTACATATATGATGATTTCTTGGATTCTACATGTGTTTTGCTATGAAATGTGAGTGTTTATGCATTGTCTTGTGAAAATGCATATCTAGAGCTTGTTATTACGGTTCTTGTATGCCATTGCTTGGCTATTCCTTTGATTCAAGTCATTTTGTTGTATTTGGTGAGATTTGGTATGTTTTGGACTTGAATTTGAGCTTGGTGTTGAAAATCCCCGAAGGGATTATTTGGTGTACAGGTACGTACCTGCGGGCAGAATGGTGGGCAGTGGCCTACCCGCCGCCCCACCCACGGGGAACAAGGCGTGAGAAATGGTGTTCCCGCGGACGGAACCACGGGTGGGGGTCTACCCGTGGGTCCACCCGCGGGGAACAGTGTTGATGTTGTTTGGGGATTTTTGTTCCCCGTGATTCTT